GGAAAAGTTTAAGTTTTCCCGTATTGATATGGAGGGGATGGGTATACGAAAACAGTTGGCTCCAATAGAGAAAGGAAAAAGAACTTATCTGCCTCTAGCATGTCACACTCTATCTAAAAAGGAAAAGAAAATTTTCTATGAGTGTTTGCAAGGTATTAAAGTTCTGCAAGGTTACTCATCAAACATCAAGAAACTTGTATCAATGAAAGATCTCAAGTTAATTGGTTTAAAATCTCATCTCATGTATTGATGCAACAACTTCTATCAGTGGCTATCCGTGGGATCCTACTAAAGAATGTGATAGTAACTATAACGAGATTGTGCTTATTCTTCAATTCCCTATGTAATAAAGTTCTTGATTTCAAAAAATTAGATGAATTAGAAGATGAGGCTACCATAATCTTGTGTCAATTGGAGATGTATTTTCCTCCATCATTTTTTGACATTATGGTTCACGTACTTGTTCATCTAGTTAGAGAAATCAGATTTTATGGTCTTGTTTATTTAAGGTGGATATATCTAATAGAGCGATATATGAATATCTTTAAAGGATATACAAAGAATCATCACCGATCAGAAGCTTCGATTGTTAAAAGGTACATCACTGAAGAAGCTATTGAGTTTTGTACAAACTATTTGTCAGAAGTAGATTCTATATGCATTCCAAAGTCTCGTCACACTGATCACACAAACAAAAGAGGTATTCAAGGTCTAAATATTAAGTTAATGGCTCGGGATGTAGTTATTCAAGAACATTTCTATATATTGAATAATATAAATGAAGTTCAACCTTTCATAGATACTCAAAAAAGACTTTTGAGGAAAAAATATCTCCGAATGAGTGATAAGTTATTGTTGATAGAGCATAACAAGAGATTCATAGATTGGTTTAATAAAAGTGTATCTAATGATTGTAGTGCATCTGAGATACTTAAAGGGCTGTCATACGAGCTAAAATTTTGTGTCATTACTTGGACTGTATACCTGTATACGACATTGGTCATTATACCTTTTATACAAAATCAAAAGATGATCGTAATACAATGCAAAATAGTGGGGTTATGGTTGAAGCCGAATCAATGTATTTCTCTAGTTCGAAAGATAAGAATCATGTATTGGCAACTATCGCGCTTTATGGTGTCATTGATGAGATTTGAGAGATTGATTATGTTACTTTTAAAGTGGCTTTATTTAAATACAAGTGGATTCCCAATAATAGTAATGGTGTACAAATTGATAACTTAGGATTTACATGGGTCGACCTTGACAAGACATCTTTTATGACTGAACCATTCATCATGGCTTCTCAAGCAAAATAAGTTTTCTATGTTACCGACCCATGGACATATCAGGGAAATGGTCAATCGTACTCAAAGGAAAACACATTCCTCTTAGTGATGAAAGTCTTGATATTTCGTTCAAATATTCTTACACAACACAAGTTCCTACCTCATATGATGAAGTTGATAGAGATGTTGTCCATGCTATTCGAATCGATCATGAAGAAGGCATTTGGAAAAATTAACAGGTATGTAATTTATTCTTTATTCATAATATATTCATGTATGTTATAGTTTCCAAGTATTTTTACTAACAAGTATAATTATTTGAAATTATAGGTCTTTAGAGTCAAGAGACCAAGAGACAAGACACCAAGAAACAAGACACTAAAACACCAAGTTACAATTATGTGATGTTATGTAATATGTAAACTGTAGATTGTTTGTTCTCATAAATTGTAGGATGTTTTTTATGGTACAATTGAATATGATACAATTATGTGATATTATGAATATGATACAATTAATATTATTCAGAAAATTTTATAAAAAATGTGAATTTTATTTTTTGCTCTGATATAGTGAACAATAATACAGGTTAAAAAATGGGACGAATTATAAAAGCAGGATAATATATGTTAATTATGCAGAATATTTAACAATGATTATAGTCATGACCATTACAATATCTCGCGCGCTTTCCTGAAGAAAAAAAATATCAAAACATCGCATCTGCAAATCAAACCCAGAACCATTAAATTTATTACAACGGTTCATTGGAAAATTGTTGTGATAAGGAGCGCACTTTCCAATTTATTACAATAGCTACTAGGCCGTGATTGTAAGTATCATATATTCAACGACACTCTACATAACAATGTTTGGGCCCGCATTGTTATATATCTTTCCCAACCGTTGCTAATTGTAATTTATGTAGTAGTGCATGTATCAAATTCACATATAGGACACACTTTATATCCATAGACGATGTACCCAGACAAATTACCGTATGCAGAAAAGTTATTGATTGAATAAAACAACACGACACGCATCTTAAAGTTATCACATGTATACGCATCAACAACATCAACAAATTCCTCTCACAAAAGTCTTAAATCTTTATCAATAGCGCTAAATAAAATTTGTGTCGTTCCCTGGTTATCTTGGACTCGAAATCATCACTGATAACATCATATATTTGTGCTTTATGCATAACCATGGAGATAAGTTGTAAATTATGAGAAGAACAGACCATGACGTATGGTTAGTACTCAAATTACCAAAAGGGTTCTTTCTGTCGGTGGCAAGTCCAGGCCTAAGGTTCCTTAGTTCAAGGGTAAAATCTAGAAACAAGAAATAAATTTTCTTCCATTGTAATGAATCAGATACATGGCAAATTTTCCATCTCACACTCTTTCATCAGCATGCCATCTAATATTCTTTGTGTCATTAATATTAGCAAACAATCTCTTGAACCTTTGAATTATCGGCAAGTACCACATCACCTTGGATAGAACACCCTTTTCTAGTTACACCATCATCGTCTTCAATACCATTGTCCTTCTACTTGTAGTGTGACTCCCCACACCTCAGACACTCCTTCAAGTTTTCTTTCCAATATAATATGCAATCATTATGACATGTATGTATTTTGACATAATTGAAACCCATTCGACACAATATCTTCTTGGCTTCATAACTACGATTTGACAACGTGTTACCTTATGGATGCATTTCTTTCAACAATTCAAGCAATTTAGTGAAATTTCTATCCGTCCACCATCTTTTTCCTTAAGATTAAATAATCTTAACATAGTTGAAAATCTTGTAAAACTTTTACGTCCCATATACAATGACTCTTCCATGTCTCTTTGCAAAGTATCTATGACATTAGCTTTCTTGAAAGCATCTACTCCAATTTCACAAATCATGTCTTCTAGAGTATCATTCATACATTTATTATCTTCAATTGTATGTGACAAAGGTCTTTTATTTGTCATGTCACCATGCTATATCCATTTTGTGTAATTTTGAATAATTTCATTACAACCTAAATGATTGAATATATCTTTCTTTGGATGTTTTTGCATATATCAGTAAATTTGACAAGAACACCAAAAAATTCCCTTATTGTTAGGAAGGTTTTTTTTCCGTGAAATAAAAAAATTATATAACTACATTATCATACTATTTATTTAATCTACTGACTTTCATCCAACTACGGTCTATAACCACATAAAGCTTTTGGAAAAAAAAAATAGTGCACAACCAACAAAAATGAACATTCAATCTCAATAAAATAACAATAGCAACAAAAAAACAACTAAAAATATCTGAACAACAACAATACAGTAAACCGTATAAGTCTCAAAAACCATAATAATAACAACAACGACAACAACAACATCAACAAGGGAAACAACAACAAACAACAACAACAATAATGGAGAATTTGTACATACCGAAAATGTGATGAGAGACTATAAGAAAATGTTAGTTCGAGCTTCCTTTCTCCTTGAAGAATAATGGTGTTCTTTCGTTCGCTGAAGAAGAATAATATTCTTTCGTTCATTGGAGAATAATGGTGTTCTTTCGTTCACTAGGGCTCAAAAAATGATGAGACTTAACATTAACTCTCGAAGGAATAAAAAATTTAGAAAGTTTTTATATCGGTTTTCATAAAAACCGAGGGAACATATCAGACGTAAATTTTATAAAAAATAAAGGAGTCTTTTTAGTTCTAAATGAATAAAAAATTTAGGGAGTTATTATATCAGTTTTCTAAAAAATCGAAGAAACATATCCAATGTAAAATCTATAAGTAATAAACACGCATTTTTGGTTCTATAAAACATAAAATTACAGGAGGTGAGAATCGAAACTCAAACTCTGAGCAACTTTTTATGTCAGTTTTAGTAAAAACCAAGAAAAATGATTAAGTTTTCTCATAAAATAACACGTTCTATGTCATTTGACCTTGATTTTTCAATAGCTGAGATGAAAACTCTATTATAAAATATATTATTTATAGTAATGATACTTGATAGCTTAATTTAATATCATGCTTAAAAAACAATAAATATATTCAAAAATACAATTATATTATAAATAATATAATATTTATAATAAATATCACTATTTTTATTTTATATTTTATAAAATATATTTAATAATGGTTCGATTAAGATCCAATAACTCAAAACTCAAATAATATATTAAAAATACTTTTATTTTAAATCCAACTTTTTTAATAGCACATATATTAAATGGAGAAATGACAAAAGTAACATTGAGTTCAAAAGAAGTTGATAATACTAAAATATGCGCAAGGACTACAACTCTAACAACTTGTCTAGCCTGAGACAAAAAGAAAAAACACAATCAGACGAAGACAAAGAAACCAACAAAACTATCAAACCAGACCTTATATAAATCCCTAGGCATGTTAAATGAGGTATGCTTAAGGCTGCATAGCCTTTTTGTCATATCTGAGTAAAACACTGGAAAAAGGAGATGAAAAAGAAATTGCTGACTAAGCATGTTGTTGGTTCAAAAATACTACATGCACATTAATCATGCAATATAGTATTTGTGCATTTATTGGAAAATCCATTGCAACATCATACACTATAATATAGAAATAGAATACAGCCTTACACTAAGTTACATGTTGCAAACTCTTTGTTTAACAATATATTCTATAACTAAATCAAAAGATAATTAAACAGGCATCTTCCTCAAAAGTTGACCTTGCATGAAGCTGAAAAAACAAAACAAACAAAATCAGTAATAATAAATAGAAATTTTCATTTTGAATATACAGAAAAAATATGTTTATAAGGGAAAACCAAAATGATTTACCTCTTGATGTAATAGTAACAGAAATCTGCCAAGATGAAAGATTGAACCAACTCCAATACTTGAAGAACCACCATCCAGAAATAGCCATAGCCAAAGAAAAATAGATATCTACCTCCAGTTTCATAAACCTATACAAAATATTACAAACATTATCGTATATATTATTTCACATTTCTCATAGTTTAAGAAAATATAAAAACAAATTTAACAAATCTCACGTGAATAATCCAATATGCTAATGCAAAGAATCTTGAAATACCAAGAGCAAATACATAATATCCCGTGAATGTTTCAACCATCTGAAAATAAAAACATGTTATAATCTATACTATACACATAAATGATAATAGTATTACAAAGTTCGAAAGTGTTTAACCTTTGCATTTTGCATGTAACGAATTTGAGGAAGAACTGAAACAGTTTCGACATACAAAGTGAATGCGAAAACAACTCGAGAAAGCCATACATAAGGTGTCTGTGGTTTTACTAGTACTGCAAGAATTGCGGAAGGCACCACCTAGTACATAATCAATAGAATATTCTTTCAATGCGAACTAGAACATTTTGGATTAACACAAAATTACTAAGAGAAGATGTAACTATGTTTACCAAAAGGGATATCCACATTGTGTCAAACTCTTTGATATAGGTAGATTTGAGTCTGAATCTCATCAACCAAACAACCATTAATGTTAACAAGAAATATAATAGATCAAACACAGTGCGATAGTCTGCTTCCATGTAGAAGCTGCAGCCTAATCTTGTTGCTAGGAATAAAGCATTGACCTCTTGGAACTTGAGGGATAAACCTACAAATATAAAATTGCTCTTTAGGTTAGCATAAAATGATAAAAAAACAAGGTAAAAAGCAATCCGGGTCCATTTTTTTTCCTTCAGGACCGCGGGCGGACCTATTGTATTAGAAAGAGAGCAAATACTTTTATATAATTTGTTGTTAAATAGAATACAATCTTGGTCTTTATAGACTCAAAGACTTTTACTATTTTAGGAAAACAAATAATATTAGTAAATACTATTATAAGCCACTATCTCCTGACCTTTCAATTACAATAGACTTTTAACCTTTTCACTAATTTATTAATAGAAGCCTACAATCCGACACTTCATTCCTTCACATGTTCTCGAATGAAGTGGAAGCGAACGTCAATGTGTTTGCTTCTTTCATGGTTTACTAGATTCTTCGCCAACTCGATTGCTAATTTGTTGTCCACTTGTATTACAGTTGCACCTTCCTGTTTTAGCTCCATTTTACTCATCAATCTTCTAAGCCATACTGCATGACAAACAGACCAAGATGCTGCCACATATTCAGCTTCACATGTCGAAAGTGTTACTATCGATTGCTTTTTAAAAAGCCAAGTAAATGTGGTGTTTCCCACGAAGAACACATATCCAGAAGTGCTTTTTCGATCGTCTATATCTCCGCACCAATCACTGTCAGAGTAACCAACTAACTTGTAGTCTTCTGTTCTTGAATTCAAATTCGCGTGTCATGGTGCTCTTGAATTCTTCTATCATCTGATCATCACTGCCTAGAAAAATAAGGTCATCGACATAGAGAACAACAAATAATACATTACTTCCATTTTTCTTCACATAGAGGGCATGTTCATACGGACATTGCTCGAACTCATTCTTCTTGAAATATATGTCAATGCGTGTGTTCCATGTCCGCGGTGCTTGCTTCACCCCATATAGCGCTTTCTTCAATTTCAGCACCTTCTTCTCTTCTCCAATCCTCATATATCCAAGTGGTTGTTCGACATAGACTTCTTCTTTGAGTACACCATTAAAAAATGATGTCTTGACATCCATTTGAAATATCGGCCATTTGAATTGAGCAGCTTGAGAAATGAGCAATCAAATTGTCTCCATTCTTGAAACAGGTGCAAACACTCCCTCATAGTCAATTCCTGCTTTCTATTTGTATCCCTTCGCAACAAGTCGCGCTTTGTATCATTCTATTTCTCCTTGAGCATTCATCTTTTTCTTGAAAACCCACTTTACACCAATGGGTCGACTACCTTTTGGCAATTCGACTAGCTCTCAAGTGTTGTTGCGGTCAATAACTCTAATCTCTTCGTCCATGGCACTTTTCAACTTCTTGTCTCGTAACGCTTCTTCGAAACTGATGTTTTCAGCATCTTCCAGAAGGCATACAAGGTGTACCTCATTTGTCGAATCATATAAATCTTGCAAACTTCGCATTCTGGGTTGTAGAGGTTCATCTTCATTTTCAGTATCTTCATGTTCTGTTGAAATGCTTGTTGGTACAGCGACAAATGATTCTTCGACTGCGTCGATAACTTCTGTCGAATTGTTCCAGTTCCACTTGCTCGCTTCGTTTATTCGAACATCTCTACTCACGATAAATTTCTTGTTTATGGGGTCGAATAGCTTGTACCCTTTTGTCTTCTCATCATATCCAATGAATATATACTTTTGACTTTTGTCTTCAAGTTTCATTCTTCGTTGATCTGGTATATGTGCATAAGATAGACTACCAAATACTTTGAGGTGAGAAACTGTTGGCTTTTGTCCGCTCCATGCTTCTTGTGGTGTTTGATCTTCTAACTTTGAATGTGGACATCGATTCTAAACATAAACAACACATTGTACAGCTTCTGCCCAGAATTCTTTCGACATGTTCTTGCTCTTAAGCATTGATCGAATCATGTCAAGAACAGTTCGATTCTTTCTTTCAGCCACACCATTTTGCTGAGGTGAATATGGTGCAGTCAGGAATCTCCTTATGCCCTTCTCTTCACAATACTTCATAAAGGTCGTCGAAATGTACTCACCACCTATGTCAGATCGAACTGCTTTGATATGTTTGTCGGTTGTCTTCTCCACCATTACTTTGAACTTTCTGAACACCTCTAATGCTTTAGACTTTTCTTTCAAGAAATAAACCCAGATCTTTCGTGAGAAATCTTCGATAAAGGAAATGAAGTACCTTTTTCCACTGAAGGATTCTGGAGTGATTGGATCGCATATATCGATATGAATCAATTCGAGAATATGTTTAGCTTGATATTCTGCCTTCTTTTGAAATGAGGTTCTTGTTTGTTGGCTGAGCACACATTCTTCACAAAACTTTCCTTCATAATCCATGTCTGATAGTCCGTGCACCATGTTCTTTTTCACCAACCTTCTCAAACCAGCCTGATGTAGATGACCAAAGCGTATATGCCATAGTGACACTTTGTCTTGCATGTTGATTTATAGACATTTCTCTCGAACGTTCCTCGGTTTCAGTTTGTACATTCGATTTCTTTTCATTTCGACACGGGCGATCAGATGTCCTACTTTGTCCTTCAAATGCAGTATTCGATATTTTATAAGTATTGAAACACATTTTTTTGTAAGTTGACCCAAACTCAAGATGTTGGTCTTGAGATCTGGTACATAGTAAACATCTTAGATTGATCCAATCAAGCCATCCTTCTGTAAGTAACAGATTGTGCCCTTTCCTTCGACCTTCATTTTCGATGCGTCTCCGAAAGACACGTTACCATCTTCAATTTTTTTCATTTCTTTAAACAGGTGTTTGTAACCACACATGTGATTACTTGCTCCTGAGTCAAGATACCAAATATTGTCATTATTGGTGTTGATTTCATCTTGAGTCATCAGGAGAAAACCTTCATTCGCTTCAGCTTCCAAGGCTAGATTGGTTGTTTCTTCTACCTTTTTATCGATTTGACAATCTTTTGCAAGATGTCCCACTTTATCACAGTTATAACATTTGTAGGAATTGCAATCCTTCGCGTAATGACCATACTTCCCACACTTGTAGCATTTAAAGTTGGAGTGGTTCGATCGACCACCTCTTTGACCACGTCCTCTGCCACGCCAATTTTGTTGGTTCGACTGTCCTCTCTCGAAGTTACTGCCTTGACCACTTCGACCACTGTCACGACCTCCACGGTCACGTCCTCTTCCTCAAAAGTTTTGAGAAAAGAGTACCTTTTCGTCTTTGATCGACTCCTTGGTTTGATTTTCTTCCTCGACTGCTTCTTCCTTCTTTTTCATCTTACGTTGTTCATGTGTTTCGAGAGAACCAGCGATCTCTTCGACTGAGAGCGTCGAAAGGTTCTTCGAATCTTCTATTGCACACACAATATTCTCAAATTTATCTGTTAAAGATCTCAAAATCTTTTCAATAACTCGTGCATCAGTTATTGTTTCGCCATTTCTAGTGAGTTGGTTCACTATCTTTTATACATGTGTGATGTGGTCAAATACAGTTTTTGTCTCCTTCATCTGCATCCTCTCCAATTCGCCATGAAGAGTTTGGAGTCGAACTTGCTTCACTCGGTCTGTTCCTTTGAACACTTTCTCTAACGTGTCCCTTGCTTCTTTTGACGTAGTCGAATCGATAATCTTTTCAAATCCTGATTCGTCAACAACCCTGGACAACATGTATAGTGTCATTTTATCCTTCGATCGCGTCTCTTTCAACGCCTTATTTTGAGTTGTCATTGTTCCGCAACATCTATTGGTTCTTCAAACCCATCTTTCGTCACCTCCCACGCGTCTAGAGATCCAAAAAGAGCTTTCATTTGGATACTCTAATTTTCGTAATTTGACTTCGTTAGTCGTGGCAACGACATTTGATTCATCATGTTTGCCATTAGCTCTGATGCTAATTTGTTAGAAAGGGAGCAAATACTTTTATATAACTTGTTGTTAAATAGAATACAATCTTGGTCTTTATATAGACTCAAAGACTTTTACTATTCTAGAAAAGCAAATAATATTAGTAAATACTATTATAAGCCATTATCTCTTGGCCTTCCAATTGCAATAGACTTTTAACCTTCCCACTAACTTATTAATAGAAACCCACTATTTATAACATTAAAGTTTATTCAACATATTGAGGGTGCCCATCCAAGACAAAAAATTAACAAAATTTTCCATGATTGCATGTTTGAACAAGTTGTGAGGTATAATTATTGAAGCTTCATGATTGATATCGCTACCATGTATGATAGTGCCTTAGTTCATGTCATCAAGATTTCTATACTTTCCCTAATGAATTTTGATCTTGCTATACATGCAATCCATAAGTTATTGGATGGAATCCTTGTGAGATTAAGTAGAATGAGGGTGTACTTTGACAACAAGATTTCTACATGAATCTAGTTATGGAGGACAGATTTAGATTTTCTATGTGTACACTAGACTAGTCAGGTACCCCATTTCTACCACACACATCGCAACATTTGATAGGTGTGAACAACTTTGTTAGTGGTATCATAGTGAAAGTTTGGACTCCGAGACTCTATCTTGATTTTATACTTTGAGGCACTTAGAAATTTTTTTAAGGGTGACAAAAAGAGCTCATGTCCGTTTATCCGTATTTTTTCTTCAAAAATAATTACCGTTTTAAGGTCGCAATGTCTAATATGTTTATCCCATTATGTCTTATGTTTTTTTTTCAACCGTGGCAGTTAATCAAAATTTTTAAAACTTTTAGTTTTTAAGAATGCAAAACCCTCGAGTCCATTTCATTCTCATTCTTTTGTAGAGTTGGAAAAAAATTTATGTCCATACCCTCAACTATGTCAACGCCGTATTTTTATGGCATTTGCGGGGTGGCCAAAATGAAACAAGTATGACCGATTGCCACATTTTTGCACCCTAGATATTTATAGACTAAAAGGTGCGAGAATTCAAACATTTTTAAAACTTTGACCCATCTAATATCTAATAGATGAATAAATTCTTTTACCCAACTGCACCCTCGCAAAATTTGAGTTTTATGTACTAGATCATTAGAATGTATTCGGCATAATTCTACAGGCAAGAATAAAAAAGGGTCAATTTTAGGACTAAAAACGGCGACTTCTCAAATGAACACAGTGTGAGAGTAAATTAAGGTCAATAAGCTCTACATATCAAATAAAAGATTGATTGCTAATTAATCAAACAATGTACAGCAACAATAATTCAGCACAAATTGTTAAAGACCATAGTCTAGCGACCCCTTTTCTCATAAGAATAAAAAAATTAAAAATAAAAAATCAAGAAAATATGTAGTAATTGATGATAAGGGGAAATTAAGAAACGTACCAGAACATGTCTTATTAACAAAGAGCTTGTATACAAGAACAACAAGACCAGCAACATGAACTGTTCCAGAGGCTATGTAGAAAAAATGAGGATCTGTGATAGTATGCCTTAGAATCACCACACCACAAAAAGCAAGCAATATCCCCAAACCAATCTTCACTTTCATTGATCTTCTACTCAACCATCCACTCAGAATACTCACTCCCAAATCCTTCTTTGATCCCATTTTCTCACACCAAAATATGGGTATTACACAATGATATATTATATATACTATGATATTCTGAAGGAAGACATTTATTAAATTTTTTGAGATTACATTCACTATGAAACCGTTTCAAATATTGACAATTTTGACGTAGGTACCCTTTAATTTTGTTGGGTACGGATATTCTCAACCAATCAAACACTTTAATTCAATAATTCAATGTTACATCACTTTTCATTTTATTTTTTTAAATAAATTAAAATTTTAAAAATATTTGTACTAAAGATACGATATCCAATTTAAATTCATGGATATCAAATAATTTACCTAAATAATATTTCTTAAAAAAAATGGTAAGAAAAGGTGTTGTTTGAATTACTTTCTTTAATTTTTTTTTATGTTAGTCAAATATTTTTTTTATTTAATGAGTTTCATAAGAATATTTTAAATTTCTATAAAAGGTATAACAAAACAAATTTTTACTTTCTCAATATATATATATATATATATATATATATATATATATATATATATATATATATATATATATATATATATATATATATATATATATATATATATATATATATATATATATATATATATATATATATATATATATATATATATATATATATATATATATATATATATATATATATATATATATATATATATATATATATATATATATATATATATATATATATATATATATATATATATATATATATATATATATATATATATATATATATATATATATATATATATATATATATATAATATATATATAATTAATATACATTGTATTATAATATAAATCTTTATTATACATTCAATCAAATCCTACATAATAAATATTTATTGAAATATTTTTTAAAAATAGCGTAAAAATAATATGGTAATTTAACTAAATTTCTGTATTAAAAAAATTATACCTTCAATACATAAATATTAATATAATTCTTTTTTAAAAACTTTTAATAACAAAACTCACAAAAGAGAACAGAACATTGAATTGCAAACATATCAAATATTTTATTATATAATACTTTTAAAATGTATATGTCTGGTCAAATCAAATATATATTAAACGATGTATAAAATTTATGGTAATACGAATCTAAAAGTTAATTAAAAAGAATAATTAGTCATATGATATTATTTTCATTGAATATATACAAAAAATATTTGACTAAAATATTTTATTAAATATTTAATTTAATTAATATATTTCAATATTATTACGTGAACATATAAAATTTCCAACGAATGAATTAAACATTATGTTAGCCTATAATATTTTTAACACAAAATTTAGACTCGTTAGAGTGTGTTTGATTCATGATAGACGGAGGGGAAATGAGGGAAAATTTTTAATCTATATAATATAATAATACAATATGATTTTTTTTGACAAGTTTGACACTTGACAATCTCTCATAACTTCTACCTTATTTATACGTTGTTAAAAGAGGAAAGTTTCAATTATTATAATTCTATTCTTTTTTTTAAATGAAATAATTATTAATATAAATTTTTAAATTTTATGGGACATGTGAAATCATTTATGTTTGGGCCATTGGAAATAACAACGCATTCCTTTTCTATTCACCAAGAAATGTTGGAACAAAAGGTTTTCAAGAAAGATGATTTATGAAAGAGAAGAAGAAGAAGAAGAAGAGGGAAGAGAGAGAATTGAAAGTTTGTTATGATTTTTAACTGAATTCTAAAAAGATTTGTTATTGATTACACGCTTGATTACAAACTCAGCAGCCCTTTATATAGACAAACAATGTCCAGACCCAATTAGACAAAACATGCTAAAGCCCAAAATATAGTTTTGACATACTACAATATCTGCTGTATTAGACTCTATTATAACCTATACAATAAGCTATTCGACATACACCACACATGCATTTCGACAGAACAAGAATTATACTTCCAACACTCCTCCTAATTCATGTTCTCGAGACTTCCCATCATGATGCTTCTCTTTAACTCGTCAAATCTGATTTTCTTCAAAGGTTTGGTAAATATGTTACCTAGTTGCACTTTTGTCTTGCAATGCTTTATCTCCAGCTTCCCTTTATTGATTTGATTCCTCGGAAAATGATACCTTCTTTCTATGTGCTTACTTCGACCATGACACACTAGGTGATTCGCCAGGTTAATAGCTGACTTGTTATCGACAAATAACTTCATCTTCTTAGGTTCCATTATCTTGAGTTCTTCAAGTAACATTTCATTCCATGCTGCTTGGCATGTAGCATATGATGCAGCCACATATTCTGCTTCGCATGATGAAAAAGCCACAATGCTTTGCTTCCTCGAACTGCAAGAGATTGGAGCACCTTCAATCATGAAAATATAGTCTCTATTACTTTTCTTTTCGTCTGGATCTCCACTAAAATTTGAGTTCATGTATCCATGAACTTCGACATTTGTGTTGTTCTTCGACTTCTTTGGTAACAGCACATCATGATCAATTGTTCGCTTTATGTATCTTAACACCCTCTTTACTGCGATGAGATGACATTCTTGTGGTTTCTCCATAAATCTACTCAAAAATCCTACACTTTGGAAGATAGTTGTTCTAGTATTGCAAAGATATCTCAAGGATCCAATGATTTGTTTGTAAAGGGTCGAACTTACAAACTCATCATTCTTTTCCTTTTTCAACTTTGCTCTAGTTTCTAACGGAGTGACAACTTCATTAAAGTTGCTCATTTTAAACCTCTTCAAAATATCTTGAGCGTACTTTGCTTGATGTAATAATACTCCTTATTTAGTATCTTTGAATTCCATCCCTAGGAAATATGAGAGATTTCTTAAGTCAGACATTTCAAAGAGTTAGTCATCAATATAGAGGCATAAAATGATTCGACTGACACTGTTGATATCATTTACATACACTCCATGTTCAGAGACACACTTTGAGAAACCTGCTTCGATCAGGAAGCTATCTATCCTCTTATTCCAAGCTCTAGGAGCTTGCTTCAAACCATAGAGAGACTTCCTTAATCTATATACCTTTGACTTCTGCCCTTTGATGTCGAATCCTGGTGGTTGAGTAACATAGACTTCTTCTTCCAATGGACCATTAAAAAATGCTGACTTTACATCCAACTAATGCATCTTCCATCCTCTATATGCTATTGTCGAAACAATAATTCTAATTGTTTCTAACCTTGCAACAGGTGCATATACTTCGTCGAAGTCGATACCAGGTTTTTGTAGAAAACCTCTTGCCACCAATCTTGCTTTATACTTTGCAATCTCACCATTTGGCCTTCATTTCACCTTGTAAATCAACTTTACATCGATTGGTTTCTTGTTGGTTCTTTTGACAAGCTCCCAGGTCTTGTTTTTTTCAATATCTCTGAGTTCTTCTTTCATGGCTTCACACTAATCTGAATTGCTCATGGCTTCATCCAAATCAATTATTTCTACTTCAGCCATCATCATGGCTTCTCCGATTAAGTCACCATCTGTATCAACTGCTTGATCTAGAAACCTTGCATATCCAATGAGCCTGGTCGACTCAATTCTTGTTCTTATCGACCTTCTTTCATTCTGCACAGGTGGTTCTTCATTTTGACTGGTTGAAGCATCACCTTGTTCATTTTGACTCATTAAAGCTTCATTCTTTTCATCTTTTTCGAACACAGTTGTGACTGTATCTGATTCTTGTCGAACTTAACTTTGACTCTAGTCCCACCCTTTGCTTTCGTCTACAAGAACATCTCGACTGATCACTAGTTTATCTTTGTTTGGCGAAGACAACTTGTATGCACCAGTCGAGTGATAACCTATGAGCACCATGAATTCACTTCGATCATCCGGCTTCTTTCTCAATTGTTCAGGTACATGCCTGAAGCACATTGATTCAAAAACTTTAAGATGACTCACATTTGGCTTCGACCCTATCTAAGCCTCATGAGGTGTCTTTTCGACCATCTTCTTCGTTGGACATCTATTTAGAATATATAATGCTGTCGAAGTTGCTTCAGCCCAAAATCTCTTAGGCATATCTTTAGCTTTCAACATACTTTTCGTCATGTTCAATATAATTATATTCTTTCTCTTATCTATTCCATTATGCTAAGGCATATAGGATGCAATAACCTCGTGCTATATACCTTCCTCATTTCAAAATCTAGCAAGTTCAGCAGAAGTATATTCACCACCACCATCAGTTCTTAACTTCTTCAATCTGCAGCCACTTTGTTTCTCAGCTTGCAACTTAAACTCCTTGAACGGTGTGAATACCTCACTCTTCCTTTCAATATGGTAAATCTACATATGTCTGGTGAATTCATCAATAAAATTAAGGAAACACCTGTTACCTCCATTTGACTTTACTTCAAAGGGTCTACACACATCAAAATGAACTAGCTCTAGTTTTTTCTTTGATTTCACAGGCAAGTCATGTTTGAATGCCTTCCTAGCCTGTTTTTCTTTGTAGCATTCCTCAGATACCTTCTTTGGTTCCTCTACACATGGCAACCCAAACACCATAATTTTCTGATTGAGCATGCATAAACTTATGAAGTTTAGATATCCATATTTGTGATGCCATAGCCAGTTTTTGTCTTCTTCTGTAGTTTAAGCAAGACATTTATGATCTGATGTGTTGAGTTCAATTTTGAACATTTTATTTTCTGCCAATGGTGCTTTCGTTATTAGCCTCCCATCAGCTTTATATACCTTTATATTATTCTTCTCCCACTTCATATTGAAACCTTTTGCAAGTAATTGACCTACACTTATCAAGTTACTTGTCATAGAAGGTACATATAACACTTCAGTGATAGTAGCTTTTCGACCATCCTTCATGACAATTGAAATATCTCCTTTACCACTTGATTTGATGTGCCTACAAACTGTAAACTTTATGACCTTTTCGATTGACTCATCTAACTTGGTAAACTAGTTTTTATTGCCAGTCATGTAGTTGTTGCATCCTGATCCAGATACCACATGTTGTTTTTCTCAGTGTTCGACTGAGT